TTCTTTTTTTTTTTTTTTTTTTTTTTTAAATGATGGCAGAATAATAGGATATTGCCGGTTTTGTCTCTTCTAAATCCAGATGGAGTATCTATTTTTTTTTTTTTTTTCTGTGTGTAAATATCATGAGGTGAGAAAAATAGTAGGGAAATAAATTTTGGTGTCAGGAGAGGATTGAGTGGTAGATCTGGGTTTGTGTCAACATTCAATTCACAGCATACCATCTGTTAATCTGGTAGCTATTGTTTTGGCAGCATGTGCCACACAGCTGATTTTGTTTGGAAACCATTGAGTAGAAAATCAGGTTTGAATGAAGATTGCTGCTCTTGTTTGTTTTCATGTCTGTGTAATTGAAAGAAGACCATACAAGGTTTTTGCATGAGCCTTGGTTTAGGGGAAGGTGGCTTCGTTTTCCGGAGGGAAGGGGGAATTTTTACACCCCTGTAGGAGACATTCTACATTCAGGGCCCAAGTAATTGACACATTGTATATGAGAATGCAAAACATTTTCATCACCACACTGAGAAGTGCACTGGTTTATCAGCACGTGCAATTCTTCCCAGCAGTTACTGTCAATAACTGACCCCATCCACACAGATAAAACTTCCAACCCAAAGTCAGCCAGGGTCATAACGATATTTTCTGGGTCATGGTATGATAGATTTATGCCAGAATACATATGCTTGATAACGGTGGCAAAGATTGTTAGACAGCTGCCAGCTCTCTAGAAGTTCCCATCTGTCTTATAAAAGACAGGTGTCAGATATCACTGATGGAGGAAGAAGTCATACACAGGACAAAGAACGCCATCAGCTGGAAAGAAAATATTCTTATGAAGAGCTGTGGGATAAGATGTTATGTGTAGAAAGAAGAAGGAGAGAGGGACGTAGAAATGGGGTTGGGGGGTTGGGTTTTGATGTGAATGCTGTTACTCAGCATACGTTGAGCAGGGGCCTGCTAACCAAATTAACTCTGCAGTGAAGAAAATCTTAGACTGCTTACTGTTTCTAGTTTTGCTTTATGACTGTGGGAAAGTGTCTTATTCTATCTTTAATGTGAATATTATGTTGCTAGCATCTGACCCACCAGGATGTTGAAATGCTCAATCCATCAAGGCTTATAAAGTTGTCTGGCATTTTTTTATAGAAGAGACTCTAGAAAGGGTAGAATTGTAAACATCTGTGGTATTTCTGAGTCACCCATCCACTCGATATCGGAGTATCTATCCTGAAAAGTAACCATGCAAGGAAACCTTCCTTTTCCAAACCTGACCCTGTTACTGAGATTTATTTTTCTTTTAAATAGATACCTTTGGGATTCCTCATTCAGTATTGTGCTGTGGCCATTCAGAACTTAATAGAAATTTCTGCTTTTCTTGAGACTCGCATCCCCTTATCATTTGAGCTGCAGAAGAGCCCCTGTAGGGAACAGAGCAAATCTGATGCTGTGTCCTGCAGACGTCGTTGGCATGCGATAGCCAGACTAATGCAGCCCAGGGAGCAGCAGCCTGCCTCTGTGTCTTTGCTGATTCACCTCACAGCTCCTGTTTATTTCAAGTACTGCACAAGAACAGAGCTTCACATTGTCTTCAAAATAAAGATAGCGTGCCTTGGGCTACTGATAAGCTTATCCCTACTTTAGAAACAGAGTTACAGAGCTGTTGTGGACAGAAAAAATTCTTTTTGCATCAACACTGGGACTTCAGCACTGGTATGACTTGTAGTGAGAGAGGCAACTTCCATCATGCGTTTGTTAGCATTTTCATACATGAATGCGTAGTGTGTATTTTCGTTCCTGTTTTGCCTGATTTTCACAATGTTTTATACATTGTGAGTTACAGAGTGTTTTAATTAGAGTTGACACTTGGGACTTCTTTGTCCTGTACAAGTCTGGGGGAGAAGGGAATGCAAACATTAGGAATTACAAGTACTTCCTCCACCTTACTCACAGCTAATGGTGAGGGGAACCATTGTTGCACTGCGGCGTGTGAAACAGTATTGCCATAGTAAGGACATAAATGCAGAAGAAGCAAACAGATCTCCAGCTAGACAGAGGTGGCACTGAGAGCTTTCTGTGTGCTTGTTGCTCAGCTCCCGTCAGTCTCAAGAGCTCTTATACAGTTTTTCAGTTGCTATCACTTGTATCGTTCCCACTGAAAGAAAACAAGAGTTTTCAGACAGCAAGCAGCATGCAGCAGTTGGGACCCTACCACTGACAATCCAAAACAGTTTTAAGGCAATATGCATTTTAAACCCAAAAATCTCATAGAGTGAATCTTCTGTGTTTCATAACACTGTGTGCATGTCTTCTATAACACTTGTTAGCCAGCTGTGTCTGGGAGACAGAAAAAAATCAAATTACCCAGCCGGGCTTTCCAGCAAAGATTAAAGTGATTGTTATTCTTCAAATACTAATCAGGCTTATAAATCTTTTTAACTGAATTCAACATGGAAGGGAGAAGGCACTTTGTTTGGTTCTACTTTCATTAATGGGTGGGCAAATTGTTTCCGACTGGGAACAAAATAATACCAAAACCCAAAGCATCCTCTCTGGAAAGAAAAAGCTAGTTTCTACTTAAAAGGAAGAGCAGAGAAACATGTGCAGCACTGAATTTGCTCACTGCAACAATACACAGCCAGGTATCTTAGAGTGGGGTTTAAAGACAAATTTGACCTAATTTAAGACTACACCTCGAAAAAGGAGGGCGCAAGGGGAGGCCTCTTTTCACTTGTGGTTACTGTGGCCTTCCTTGCATGAGGATTCAGAATTGCTCAGCCTTGGAGTACGCCGATTTTACTCCCTGGTCCAGCTGAAAACTAACATTGCCAGAAAAGAAGAAAGAAGAATAAAGTTCATTTTTCAATTGGATGGGTGAGACAGTCTGATGTAAGCAGGGCAATGCAGTTGGGAAGGCAGTTGGAAGTGGGGGCATGGACCAGGACTAACCTCTACCTGCAACACCAGGGTTCCCAGTCAGCTTAAGCTGTGATAAATTAAATCCTTCAGCTAGTGCCCTCTCTGATCTAGGCACTGTTCAGATCTTGGGCATGGAACACAGCTCCTAGGTAGACTCTGGAGGGTAGAAATTTCACAGGTTTGACAGAGTGAACTCTGTAGTATAGGACTCTGACACTGTAATCTGCGGCTCTTGAGATTTTTTTGCACCTTACAGTTGTCTTTTAATATATAAATACCATCATGTAACAAAATACAGTAGAGAGTGGCAGTGTCTGACATTCATATGCTAGATATTGTACAATGGGGATATAACTGGGAGGGGTCATAAAGATGCTTAAACAGCTTTGACATTTAAGTGATGGGATTGTAACCATGCAGTTCCAATTAATAACAAATGGGCTGTTGGGGCTTTTTTTCTTTTCCATCTCTATATGACAGTTACAATTGCTGATACCTGTGGTGCCATAATAAAGTTTAGATCTAAAGTTATATTTCAGCTTTCTCAGTACTACAAGTAATCACAATATTCCTACGGTGATTTGGCCTTTGATTTACAGATGTGAACTGAACCTTATTCAGCTGGCCATGGCTTTTGTCAGGCATTCAGCAGCAGTACCGGGAGGAAGGCGCTCACCTGGCAGGTAGCTCCCTCCAGCAGGCAGCTGGGAGGCTCTGTGTTACCTGCAGGCCAGCTCCAAGCTCTGGCACCTTCAGTCACTTGCTGCAGGCATCAGCTTCTTTGGGGACAGTACCAAGGTCTTGATTCAGGCACATGTGTTAGGCTATGTAATACCCTCCTCTCCATAAAACTTCTGAACATTCACACATAATTCCCAAATAAAAGCCACAGTAAATTTAAGCTAAATAAATTATACCATGAAGAATTCATTTAAGAGTCAAGGAGTTCAGTCTTCCTGCTTTTTTTTGTAATGTTACTCAGCATTATAGCCACATCCCAGGTAAAAATGATTGCCAAAGCACTGATGCTTGATAAGATGCATAAGGCAGGACATAAACACTTACTTCATTGCTTAGTTATTAAAAATAAAGTTATGGGCTTTCTGGTGGGGAGTGGCTCAGCTGCCTAGTCCAGTGTGGGAATTTATTAGCATGTACAGTAACCAAAACACATGTCCATAAAAAATCCCAGGCTTCAGTTACTTGGAAAAACCACTATAATTTAAAATTTTAATAGAAAGACTTGTCTGAACATTTGTGTAATGTATTGTTAGGAGTGATGTGTGCCTAAAAGAATGCTTGTCTTTAGCAATTTACTTGCTCAAAAGAACCCAAAATACAAATCTGATGTAAAATATCAAAGAGCAAACAGGGTGGGAGTTAAGGGTCTTATGTCAGTTATATGATTTCAGAAGGTTACTGTGAGTCCATACAGCAGTTTCAAGTTTTTCAAATGAACAAAGTTCTTCTGAAAAAAATGTAGAAACCATACTATCTCAGGGTGCTAGAAGTCAAGAAGTATTTTGTGAAGCCCTTTCTTGCTATTTTGATGTTGCAGTGAAGTTAATATCAAAGAGAGAGCATGATGGGATGAAAGTTAGTAATGAAGCAGCATCTGAAATGGGGAGCTGGCCAGGTGCTCCATGGCATATGAAAGGCAGGCTCTTCGCAGGGAGTCTTTTGCACGTGTTCGTGCAAGATTAGAATGGCCAAGTGACTTCTTGGCTTGCAACTGCATGGGCTACTTGTGTCTCAGAGAGGGTGACTGATCATGGCCCACTGCTTTGGAATCCCCAGCATGTGTGTCTTCAGGTTGTGCCATCGCTAAAGTGAAAGCACAAAGCATGCAGCATTAGAGCTGATGTCGATGGGCGCTCAAAAGATGGAGATAAAGCCTGAGACTTTAAACAAATGCTGTCGTTTCCTCATATCTTTCTGATGATACAAGACACATTATGGTTCTGGTTTGAACAGTGTGCCAAGAGAGGTTATCAGGTTTCACTCGTTTGGTTTATATTACCTAGGAGACGA